TTTCCACAGCGGATTTCTCGTCATAACGGATTTTTTTGGTTGGAACCATGAATCCGCTGTGGCGAGGTTTGACTGTACCTTTTTATTCGTCAACATTATTTTTATCGATTAATAGTAATATTAGTGATGGTGGCCGAAACTACCTTACTTAGTGGGCCGAAATTGCCGATTGAACTAGACTCAGGCAAAACTAATTTTAATAATAGCTGAAATTGCGCGAAATTATTTTTAAAGTAGATTGATCTATATATATGTTTGTTATTATAAAAGCGAAACTATCTTTTTTCCAAAAATAGTTTCAGCCACCATCACTAAATAATATCCTTTATAAACTAAAAAATTTTAAATTTAAAAATATAGTTTGGGGAATTATTATTATTATTATTATTATTATTATTAACCATTCTTGGATCTCGGTCCATTAATCGAGGTACGTACACTAAATTGAGATTACTGTTACTGTGTAATATGACATTAAAAAAAATTTAGGAATCCGGTTTGACCAAATCAAATCGAGCACAGAACAAATTAAATCAATCTAAAATTGTTAAAAAACCTAATTTAGTAACAATCATTTTGACTTAACAATGACTAAATAGTTTAGCCAAGTGCTCATTTGAGTTACGCGGTCAGATATTTATAAATGAGTTTCATATTAATTATTTTTTATATATATACCACTTAAAAAAAACCAAGTATTGTTAAATCATAATCACACTACATTGGCAAGACAAATTAAAATGTTCATTTTGTTGCAGTATTCCCCATATAAAAAAACTCTCCGTGACATGCCCCGTGACTGATATAAATGAAACGCGATAATTAGTAAAGAATGTCGTTGAAAAAAATATTTTCAAGCCGTCATACTATATCAAATGAACATAGCGGGTATTCAATTTTAAGAAATGATCGGCATTAATTACACCACATAAACATAGCGGGTATTCAATTTTAAGAAATGATCGGCATTAATTACACCACATATGTTTCATATACAAACTGACCGTCATCTGACTTTAACTTGACTTTGCATCACCAAAATCAATTTTGTGGCAATAACAACAATATATTCTGATTTCTCACCTTCTATTTTATAGACTGCCAAAATAATTCGGCAAAAGGTGAAGTAATTCGGAAGTTAGTTATAGTAGACTTTTTTGCAATAGAAAATTTTATATACTTAATTTAATATATAATTTAATATATAGCTACATTTTAAGCAACTCGCCTTACAGAAAATGGATGTCATACAAAACTCATCTCAAGAAGCACCCTCCAGTGATGAACGTAAAGATAAGAGGAGAAAAGTACAATATTGTGATTTAGAAGGCCAAGGTGACATTATCTGTGATTATAAAATTAATAATGCTTCCATAGTATCTGATAAAGTTACTATTCCAGATATTAACAAACATATAAATTTGATTGGAAAAGCATTATGTAGAAGGCATTATAATAAATTAATTGTTAATGCTAAAAACAAAATAATTAGCACTTGTTCCCATCCAAAGCATGATATTTATCTTTCTAGAGCACAAAAAAAAGAAAGAATATTATTCCAGAAGGCACCTGGGCAATTAATTAATTATTTTAAATTATTAGAGACAGCAATGATGTGTCATCACTATTTGTATAAGACTGACAATGATCCAGAATACTTAGATTCACCTAATTATCAATCACCAGCTCAAAAAAAATCAAATGAAAAAATTCAGAAATTTCAAAATAAAACATATGCTTTACGTGATGATATTTTTTATTCTGAGGAAGAATTTCAACAATTAGAGTCTGCATATCATGAAGTGTGCGCAGAACTTGAGAAAGCAAAGTTAGGTAAGTAATTAATTATTCTTCTAATTGTTTACACACCAATATACTAAAATAATAATGTTATTTATTATTGAATAAAATGAAAATATATATCTTATTTTTTTTTAATAAATTAATAAATTACCAAATAAATTGTTGTTATTTTATTGTCAATAATTATATTTAACTAGTTTATTTGCTTTATTTTAGAAACGATGCCTCTTAATAAAAAAATCAAATTAATGGCAGGTTTATTGTATATAAGACAGAAGGTGAATAATGAAAAACCCATTTTAGAACCTGATGAATTTAATAAATGTTAGAAGAAGCTGAACCAACATTAAAAGGTTTTTTTAATCAACTTTATGCTGGAACAAATCCAAAAGATAAAAATAATATGACTAATGAAAAAAATAAAAAAAGATTAGTTTTATTTTGTTATTTTCAATCTATTATGTCATTGAAACTTAGAATTACACTATAATAAAATTTATTATTACATTTGGAAATTACTTTGCACAATCAACATGATTAATTGGTGCTTTTTTATCAGTATGATGTAAATTTTTTCAAATATACTTTAAAATTTGTCAGAATCTTTTGAAGTTGCAGTACCTTTGTGATTTCTGCATAATTTTTTAGGGACAAAACTTGTTTTTTCTGAGACAATTTATCAAGTTTATAGCCACAAGGTGTTCCAGAAGCCTATTTCATGAATTTCGATGCCATTATTTTTTTATATCATGTATATCCACAAGGACATGTAGGTGTTGATTTCATATCAATTTACTATGTGTTGTAATCCAAGAAAAATTTTTCGTCAGTTAACAAAACTATAAATTAATAAAATTTTCAAATTAAACATTTCAGTGATCTATATAAAGTTAATTCTCCACTTGGTTGAATACTCTGTCTTTTTATAAGAAATTTCTCACTAATTGATTTTTCATGTTTCTATCTTATCTTGTCACTCTGTTTATTCCTTCTGACCTTTGCTTTTGTTACAATTCTTTATCTTTGATGAGTCATTGTTTTGTTTTTATTACTAATGTTTGACAAATATTACATCATTCCATTCCTTCAATACCTTTTTGTTCAGATGGCTTTATTTGTTTACAGCCACTGACATCATTGTTTACTTCTCAGAACTCTTTAATATTGTTTGTATTTTATTCAATCAAGATCTTGGTGTCCGGGCCAGTCTATCTGTAAACATTCTAATAATTATCACAATTATTTAAAAACATTCAGATATTTATTTAACAGTGTTAATGAACTGATAATTTTATTGTTGTAAAATTATATAAAAATTATCTTTATTTGTTTGAATTTTACTTCTTTAAATAATAAAAATACAATTCTTAAAATATAAATATAAATCATAAGAAAATAAATGAATATATAAGCTATATATTGTATGGAAGCCTATAGACTTCCTGGAAAGTATGATCATAATTTAAAGATAACTTCTTTGATTATAAATACTATAAATATAATAATAATATGATTATATTCCCCACAATATAGCATAACAATATAATATCCATATTCCTTAATAAAATAATAACAATAACAATAATAATATGTGTATAATTCTTTAACAAAAAATCCCGATTGCCAATTAACTTTAATTAAGGGTAGGGGGAATCACGTGATAAATCAATAGTAAATCATGGATCAAAAAAATTTTTTATTGGTTTCAATGTTGATCATCACA